TTTTTCGAAAGAACCCCTGAGTGTGGACACAGCCATGGTGACCAGCAGTCTATATACTCAGCCTTTTCCAAGTAGAAAGGGGAATGACTGATTGCAGGGGCTGGCTAAAATCTTTGTATGAAATCCCAACTTTACTGAAGTCAATGGCATAATTCCCAGTGACTTTAGTAGAGTCAGGCTTTTCACCTGGGCTTCTAAGATTCTGGAATGGATAGAATGTTATTATTGTATGTAAATCCCTAATGCGCCTAGATAGGTACCATTAATGCATGTAAGTAAAATATATCTATAGCATGACATTCTAGCTTCTCGCTGTTTCCACTGTGCATGGATTTCCCCTAGTGCCAGTAGTAATCCCTGAAAAGATGACTAAATTTCTCCTTTAGTCTATTTCTCTTGAGAAATTTGTGATCATTTATCCTAATGTCATCACCTAGAAACAGATCCACAGAAGGACTTAGGTTCTTAAATACCAGGTTTAATTGTCTGAGATCCAGTTTTAGACAGCCCTGAGATACACAAAACTCACACCACATCTTGCACCACCCTACATTTCTATTGTAGGAGTTTTCTAGGCACCAACCTGCTGCCTAAGCCTCAACATAATCTACAAATTGGGGAAGGTACATATTACTCTGCCCATCTTGCCTAGAGGTCCCTATCTAGCTAGGGTGGCCAGATGTTTCATTTTTAAAGGGACAGTCTCATATTTAAGCCTTCCTGCAGGTATGTTTCAATTGTTTCAAATGTTTCAATTGTCACCATATTTCCTGTCTCTCTCTTCCCATCAGTACTGGTGGGTCTTGCTGCTGGTTTGATTCTTGCTCACCAGCCACCCATCCACCAGTGGAATATATTTTGGTGGCTTCCCATCCTGTTTCCCCCTTACTGTCTTTCCCCTGTTGAGGCCCTTTAACCCCGCAACATTCTGGCTCTGCCATATCTCCTCCCAGCAGGGTGTGTCCTGCTGCTGGCACTATGCAGAGAGCCAAATCCTGGTCAGATCATTCAGCTCACTAACAGTCTGATTGGCAGGCTCCTTCCTTCCCCCACTGTCTCTGGCTGGGCTGGCACCCAGAGAAAGCACAAGAGCCTATGGACCAAGGTGCTGGCCAGGAGGAGCCAAGCCTGCATGTGCCAAAGCCCCACACAGCACAGGCATGGGGAAGCTTCTGCACCCCTCAGTTAAGCTCTGCAATTGCAGGAAGGAAATTCTTTCTAGCCTGTTTGTGCCCCAACCTTATAGGCTCTGCAGCAGCCTCCTGGGCAAGGGCATAGCACCCCCTTCACACACTGCCAGGGGTGAAAGTAACTTAATTTCTTACAGGTGCTGTTCTATTGCAACCCGGTTCCTGCCAGCTCTTTAAATAGCTCCCTGCTGGCTTTTGCTGTGGCTCAGACCGTTCTTGCTGGAGCTGTGCACTGGGGTGTACCCCTCTACTTTCACCTCTGTACACTGCCTCTGCCCTAGGTTCTGCCCCCAGGGCATATGGGGCTTCTCTGTCCTCTAGGCACCCTCCCCTGCTAAGCCACCATTCTGCTCAGGTTCGCTGAAGCCACTGCAGATTGAATGTGTGTCTGAGAGTCCTGAGCACTCTCTAAACCTCTCAGGCTCTGTGCTTCAATACCCTCAGCGCTAACATCTGACTTTTGCTCTCCTGTCTGGGAATTGTCCTCTTTCCAAACCCCAGGCCTGCAGAAAATCTGAGTCAAACTAATTTCACATCTCAAGCAAAACCTCCCTGTCATACTCATTTTATGGTCAGAGCACAGGCATTAAGGTTAAAAACTCTCCATTGTCCTGGGTCTGGGGGACAGCATACTTAAACCGACCTGAGCAGAACTATTGTCCCCACATGCAATGTCTAACACTGATAAGGACATTAATATTTCTAGAACAAAATTTTCCAGAGAATCGTGGGGTGGGGGTTTTTGTTTTTAACAATTTGAGAGAAAAGAAAATTCTAGGATTTTTCCCTGTGGAACACAAATCCTGAGTTTTGACTAGCTCTAGTGTTAATGATTTATAGCAGACTGTTTATTTCAGATTAGAATGTAGGAAATTATTGGCAGTGTAATGGTCCACCGAGTCCAAGTACAGGGGAGAGATAATAAAATATTTGATGGTGAACAACTAGATTATGAAAATTAGGTAAGTAGGCAACCTGGACTAAGGAGAATGTAGCACTTTAAAGACTAACAAGATGGTTTATTAGATGATGAGCTTTCGTGGGCCAGACCCACTTCCTCAGATCAAATAGTGGAAGAAAGTAGTCACAACCATATATACCAAAGGATACAATTTAAAAAAATGAACAAATATGAAAAGGACAAATCACATTGCAGAACAGAAGGGGGATGCGGGGGGGTGGGAAGGGGGAGGAAGGAAGGTAAGTGTCTGTGAATTGCTGATATTAAAGGTAGGGAGAGTGGGATGTTTGTGAGTTAATGGTATTACAGGTGATAATTGGGGAAACTGTCTTGGTAATGGGTGAGAAAGTTCAAAGACTTGTTAAGTCCTTGTTGGTAAGTGTCGAATTTTAACATGAATGACAGTTCAGAGGATTCCCTTTCAAGTGCAGATGTAAAAGGTCTTTGTAGCAGAATGCAGGTGGCTAAGTCATTTAGAGAGTGTCCTTTCTGGTTAAAGTGGCAAGAAACTGTTTTCTCTTTGTGATCTTTGGGGGATATTATGACATAGTCCTGACAGAACATCCACAGAGACATTCCATGGTGCAACAATTCAATAACAATCAGAATTCATAAGTTGCACGTAGTTTCCCCAAAGCATCATATCTCCAACTATAGTTACACTACACATAAGCCCTGCATGCCGAACTTCGACTGACTGTCATGATAGTTCTTTTTCATAGAAATGAATGGATCAGGCACTCTATGCACTGGGTTTAAAACCATCAGGAACAAAATCCAGCCTTGAATGGAGAGGAAATGGAAAGAAACTTATAATAACTTCTTGATATAATACTTAAACTAGGATACATGAATTATATTTGAAAAAAATCCTTGTAAAATGATATAATGTACAGTGTACATAGTAAAATATATGCTATTATTTGTTGTATGCATTTATTGGATTTTTCTAACCCATGGAAAACAAATATAAATGATGCTGTTTTCACAACATTAATGAAGATTTGAGATCTTTGGCTTTCCAGGAGCTGACTTCTTTTCTTGTTTCTTTGCCTCATAAATCTTGCCAAGGAAGATGTAGTTACTTCAATAGATGGTTGATTTTTATACTGTCTTTTGGGCTCAGGATAATGAGTTACAAAAATGATATTGATCTCATACTAGCTAGGTAAATCTTCTGTGACCTTACCTTCTCTCTGTGCAATTATTTTTCTTTTGTTTTATTAGTTTTTATAATATGTCTTAGAGTAAATCACTTTTTCTAATCTATACAATATGATGCAACAGGGGGGAAAAGATGTGTAGCTGTGTGTTTTTATTTCCTTGTAAAAACACTCCAACTTCAAGAAGCATTGGTTATGCAGCTGTGCAAGTGTCCTCCCCCGATGCTGACATTCCTTCACCCCATCCCTTCTTTCTTTCCTGACTGGGTTTTAGGAGATAGTCAAACAACGCTAACAAAGAGCAGGCTGATGCTATCGTGCATCATCTTACTTTACGCTCCATGACCGTTAAATACAGAATTCACCTCTGTGAGAGAGTGTAGGATTGTTATTGCTGATGAGGATGTTTGGGACTCCACCCACCATACATCCAAGCCTGTGGTTCAAGCCTGGGACAGAACCAGGAAAAGAACAAGAATTTTCTACACTACCCCCAACCCTGGAATTTTCTCCATAGCATTGTGTGTCATGTAACCTCCCTGTCCACCAATTCATTCCACAAAACCCACCACTTTCCATATCTCTCAATTACTGCCCCAGTATTTTTTCAACACTAAGGCCAGGTCTAAACTACACTCTCCAGTTGACTTTCCTTACTCCTTGCAACCTGATGGAGTTGCAGGTTGACAGGGGCTCCCTCAACAGTCAATTTAGCAGGTCCTTGCCTTCACTTGGTATGAACCACCCTCCACCAATCATGTCAGCAGGTGATCTCACCGAGATTCTGATGGGCAACCTTATCCTGTTCAGAAATAATTTCTGCAATGTAGAGCCCTCCAACTGGTATATGCAGATGGGTGGGAGTTTGTGGGAAGGGCCAGTACATATCTTGCTGTTATGAAGAACAGAGGCCAAAGACCCTGTCCATTTCCTTCCTTCCTGAACCTAAGAAGGTTTTTGTTTTTGATTTTGACCTAATACTGTGGTATACTGGGAACTTCCAATGCTCCTGTTACCTCTAGGCTGTGTCTACACTGGCCACTTATTCCAGAAAATCAGCCACTTTTCCAGAATAACTTGCCAGCTGTCTACACTGGCCCCTTGAATTTCCGGAAAAGCACTGACGATCTACTGTAAAATCATCAGTGCTTTTCTGGAAAAACTATGCTGCTCCCATTAGGGCAAAAGTCCTTTTCCAGAAAACTGTTCCAGAAAAGAGTCAGTGTAGACAGCACAGATTTCTTTTCCGCAAAAATGCCCCGATCGTGAAAATGACGACCGGGCTTTTTTGCGGAAAAGCGCGTCTACATTGGCACGGATGCTTTTCCGGGAAAAGTGCTTTTCTGGAAAAGCATCCTGCCAATGTAGACGTGCTTTTTCCGGAAATACTTATAACGGAAAACTGTTCCGTTTTAAGCATTTCCGGAAAATCATGCCAGTGTAGACGTAGCCTTAGAGTGACCTTTTGAAATCTCACAACTTTCTTTGAAGGGTGGTGGCCAGCACCAGTGGGTTGATGATTAAGAACCCACACATTTCATTTCAGAGAGTTTGAGGATACCACCACAGGGGAGGGTTTGACCCTCTCACACTATATGTGACCTGAATCATGGCTGTTGAAAAGAGCCAATACTCAAAATAAACAGAGCATGTATTCATGCTATAGTCCTTTACACATTTCTCCTTCAAGAAGTACTGAAGCAGAGACCTGGATCAAGATCAAGTCAAGTTCTCCTTTTAATGCTATTTGCACATGAACAGCTACAGAAAAAATGTAGGTAGGGTAAAATAATTGTGTGCTGCACTTTGGTTACATTTCCTCCATCTTTGTAAGTCCCATTTTTATCTTTTTAGACCAGGTTGGAAAATAATAGAACCCTCACTAAAATATCTTGCTTTCTTTTGTTAGTCTAGCAATAAATGTTTGAGCCTTGGGCAATAACACCAGAGTCAAGGATTTTTCTAATGCACACACAACACAAACTCAACCAGAACAAACAATATCCTTAGCCCAATTGTCATTCATAAAAACAAAGCCATTAACACTTTTAAGCAGCCATTTTAACATATCAACCATTAAAAATAATCAGTACTACTGCTACTAAAAGGAAACTCCATCTTCACAAGTGACAATCTTATTTACTAACATGTCTGGTTTGTTAAAAAATATAAAGTAGCCAGAGAGTTTTGCAATTAATGACTGTTAGCAGGGACACATTCTGACTTTTTGACAATCTGAAACAAGATGTGGAACTTGCAGTGAATCTGCAAAATAAAGAGAGAGAGAGAGAGAAAGAACCTGTGACAGCTCCCCAAGTATAGATGCATTACTTTTAAATGCCAAATCAAATCCTTCTGTCTGGGAGGCAAAACTTATCTTCAAATAGATGCTCATGCTGGTCTTAATTGATTGACTCAGTGTTTTGTTGGCTATAATTAACACAAGTAAAAATTCATATGATGTGAATGGTCGTAGCCTTCATTTGCACGATTAACTCAGGTTGACTGTTAACCAGCCTGAGATTTTTAAGATGAAAGAAAATGTCACAAAATCCATTCATATGTTTTTCACTGGATGCATTAGCTATCCTGGTTCTGCAGCAAGCTCATACATAAGTTCTACTGATTTCAGTGATTTCAATGGGACCCACATGAGAGCAAGGGTCCACCTGAGAAGATCTGACTGGATGATTCTTGTTTGTTTTACACTTGGAGTCTTACCAGGTATTTTTCTCTTTGAGGATAAGTACCTTACGTTCAAAAGAAAACAAATACAAAATTAAGATATTTGTATGTCCCCTTAATCCTGCCTGATATACATATTTTATAGCCTTAAAAAATATAAGTAGAAATCTGTTGCTGTATATTGTTTAATTTAAACTATTTGCAGTTTTAAATGTCAGTTCTTTCATTTGTACCCAATTCTGCAATTTGCAAGCTCAGGGGCTCACAGAAATTACAGAGGTTCTGCAGGAAAAGGTGCCGCAGACTACCTGCATGTTGCAAATTGGAAAATCGGAGCCTTTGTGTTCTATATACAGGTTGAATCTCTTAAATTCAGGACTCTGGTCTGGCAACACCCATGGTCTGGCAGCATCATGGATATTTCTAGACCAGAAAGCACTGGCATGAGCAAATCAGGGAGTCCAGCGGAGGGGAGCCCTACCATCAGACCAGTGAGCCCCATCCCTGGAGAGCCCCAGCCAGGCAGGGCAGCAGTGGGACTAATGAAACCCTGGCTCTGTGGAGCCCCGTCTTAGCAGGGTACCAGCAGGGCAGTTGCAGAGCCCAATCCTCAGGGGGCCTTGACAGGGCAGGGCACAAGTGAGACTGGTGAGCCCCGTTTCTGTGGAACCCCATCCTGGTGGGGCAAAAGCAGGGAAACCGCAGAGCCCCATCCCCTAGAAGCCTCAGTCAGGCGGAGTAGAAGCGCGGCTGTGGTGGCTGGGAAGCTCTGTTCCCAGAGAGCCCCACTTGGCTGGTGGCAGCATGCTGAGCCCAAGGTCTGTAGCAGCAGGGCTGGAGCTCAGTGGCAGTGGGGCTGGAGCAGAGCCAGACAGAGGGAGGGGCAGTATCTTGGGAGGCCGGTGGCAAGGGACCTCCCCCAATCCAGCAAATTCTCTCATTCAGGACCAGTCAGGTGACAAAGGTGCTAGACCAGGCAGGTCCAACCTGTATTTTATTTATTTTGACTAAACATACAAATATCTATTAAAAAGTATGATTATACTAACCTTTGAGTAGAGCTGAGCTGCAACTATAAATTCCATCGAGCACTGTGCAACACTTCTATAATATAAAATTAACTCCATTTTTCCAGTCCATTCCTTTAAAAAAAAAAGATTCTCTCTCACAGGGGCAAAGCATTTTGATTTCTATATAAAACTTCACAGTAGTTATTGTATAAATACTGTGGTAAATCACAATATGGAAAAGTAATTTAATCTTGACTAAAATTGTAGCTATCTTTTAGAGTTGCTATAGTGAATACATTTAGAATTTTTCCCTGAAGGTTGTAAATTTACCACCATTTTTTTTTGTTCTCATTCAGATTTTTAAGCTGTTCACTGCTGTCATTTTGCATGCATGCTAGTCCCGCTACAGACAATTATTAAATATTATAGTCCATGGTCACAGCTTGCAAACATGAAGTTATACAATTTGAAGTTACACAAGTTACCATTCATGTAATTTTGTGTTTAGGCACCAAAATGTTAATACTGTTACTAGGACAGTCAAGATTTACCACTCCTTCTATGGAGAATTATGGTATGGAGTTACACATGTAGCTTTAGCAGATGCAGCAAAAATACTAATGTGCTACCCAATAACAATATTACTTAACAAGAGATAAAATATTTTTAGAAATGTCATCTGTAATTAGGAAGCACTCGCTCCTCGCAAGGGCTCCCTCATGCCTAGTGTGTGTACCTGCATTTCCTCCACTGAAGCTCATCGGCAACTCAGCCCTCCAGCAGAGTTAAACACATCTCATGTGAAATTACATCTCTCTCTCTCTCTCTCTCTCTCTCTCTCTCTGCCAGCCAGTCTCCCAGTTACACACCTTGAAGGCTCCACAGACACTGACTGCTGCTTTGTTCCCCAGCTCCTTTTATAGTCCTTCCTAACCCTTGATTGGGCCGCTTCCTCTGGAACCACTCTAGCCTCCCTGGCTTCTCTTCTGGAGTGGGGTGTGTCAAGGCTTCAGCATTTGGGATCCTATCGCACCATCTTATAATACACTAAAGCTGTGTCTACATTGGCATGATTTTGCGCAAAAGCAGGTGCTTTTGCGCAAAAACATGCTGTCTGTCTACCCTGGCGGGGAGTTCTTGCGCAAGAACACTGACGTTCTAATGTAGGAAATCAGTGCTTCTTGTGCAAGAACTATGATGTTTCCGCTCAGGGATAAGCCCTCTTGCGCAACTGTTTTTGCGCAAGAGGCCAGTGTAGACAGGCAACGTTAATTTCTTGTGCAAGAAAGCCTGATGACTAAAATGGCCATCGGAGCTTTCTTGCGTAAGAGAGCATCTACACTGGCATGGATGCTTTTGTGCAAAAGCACATCTCTTGCGCGAAGGCACATGCCAGTGTAGACACTCTCTTGTGCAAATACTTTAACGCAAAAACTCTTGCGTTAAAAGTATTTGCGCAAAATCTTGCCACTGTAGATGTAGCCTAAATATTCAAAGTAGATGATTCAAGGATCTCTTTTTTGTCTTTATGACAGCTCTAGGCCAAGTCCTGTTTCTATAGCATTTAGTAATGTGTACTTGCATGAACAGTCATATTGAAGCCAACAGAAACAGATTCATGCTGCAGATTCAGCCATCAGATTTTAACAATGAGAATTCTCCCTGAATAAGAACTCAGTAAAAATGTAATAAGTACTTCAGGAACTTCTAAGGTTACAGACTTGATTGCATTTTGTTTAAGACATTTGATCATTAACTCCCAGTTTGCTGTGTATGACTGAATTGTCTAGTACTGATAGTTCGTAATATTCCTTGGTATCAGGTAGAGAAGGAGCAGTTTCTACTAGGCACTTATCTGGCATAGATAAATGTAAGAGCCTCTGACAGATCTACAGAGATTATCTTCTATGTCTATGGCAACAAAAGACTCTGACCTCATGAAAACAAATCACTTTTACAACTCGTAATTAAAATGCAAGCTTTCTATGCAAATAAATTAATGTATTATTAAAGTGGAGAATGTAAGTACTTGAACAGGAAAAACAGAACATTAGCTTTGTAAGCTTGTGATTTAAATCACACTAATTCTATAAATTATAATTGTATTCATTATCTATTACATGAAACTAGACTTTTATCCAACCTTATGTACAAAACTTAACTTGATTTTTAAGCTTCAGTAAAGTCTACAGGAGATGTAATGGTGGGAGATTGTAAAATCTGGTTGCCTTGTCAAGGTTTTTCTTTCCAACGGTTGCTGATTTTTTTAGAAATAGTACACATTCTGTTTTCTTAACACTACCAGTAAATCTAGCAATCAACAACATATATATTTCCTGGTGTGAGAATAGTATATTACACATCCCTAAAGATAGCCACAAGAAGCTCTCATATACTAATACCCTGTGGGACTAATTTAGTCTTGAGACCTTTAATAATTATTTATTAATGCATTATTTCATCTCTGGAAATCCACTGATATTATTTCAGAACTTAACATCAGCAGGGGTTTAGTTTAGGTCAGATGAGGAGGTGTAACTTGCAAGTACTTAAGAGTCCATGAAACAAAAACATTCCTTGAGTAAAATAGCTGCATCCCTTAACTGTTTACTTTCAGCATTTCACACTTTTAGGGTTTTGGGCTGTTTCTGCAGTACAAGATGAAACATATGGAAGTTATAAAACATTTCTGGGTCAAGTAGACTCCACTTATCTATTCTTTCAACTTTAATTATTTCTTAAGTAGCTGGCTGATTAATTTCTTCTGACATTTAAATATAGCTTTTAGGTATAAAAATAAAGAACTAGAATAAGTTATATTTAAAGTTTAAGGCTTATTTTTGTGCATATATAAACTTGTGAGTAACTTGGTTCATGTAGGTAGTACCACTGGTTACTCATATACGTTGTCAATATATTTTGCAGAAGAGAGGTGGGAAGAACAAAATGAGTTTAATGGAAATTGATGAAACAGAGGCAGCGGAGTCGAGAGCCTCCATGGGCCCCTGGGCAAAGAGGGGTGGCTATGCACTCCCACAGGGTGGGGTCTAGGGTAGAAAGGGTAGGGCTGAGGACAGCCAGTTCTCATAGCTGCCTGGGCCGTAACATCTCCCCCCAGTCCTTCTCACTGGCTTGAGCGTGTGGAGCAAGACCATGAGGCACAATCTTAGACAAGATATTCCAGCATAGGGAACAGCTTGAGAAACAGAAAAATGGCAACTTCCCCTTCTACAGAATGATGGTAATACCAGCCTGATAGGATATCATAAAGCTTACTTCATGTTTGTGAAAGTGCTTTTCTGAAGAGCACCATTTAAGTTCAAAGTACAATGAAGAAATCAGATGCTACTTATATTTTATGGCCACCCATTAAAAGAAATTGTTAGGGGGGAAAATCTTCAGTATTCATTCTAAACCAAGCACAGAGTTAGATATCCGTGACGCTGACATGCCTTTTACACCTTGAATTTCTGAAGAGAAAAGGCCATTTCCTGGAGCACATAATAATAGTTCTTGGGACTTACACTTATTAAAACCCTGTAATCCCATATTCCAGGAGTCAAGACAAAACAAATGTGGTCTGCTCTAGCTGATGGAAAAAAGATCTTATTAAGGCTTAAAAACTATTATTATAAAGAATAAAACCGCTATTTATATTAATTGAGTTAGTGGTATAACTCCAAGTGGGCTATCAGAGGGTGAAAAGTACTTTCCATTCTGTAAGAGATTATCTGAATAAGTCAATCTATTTCTTTGCTTTTTGTTAGGGAGTTGTTGTTTTTTTTAAGGGGTGAGGAAGAAATTGTTCTAAAAGGAAAATATGACAGTGGCCTATATGTGTTTTACTGATTCTTTTAACTCAAAATTGGCTTAAAGATGACGGTATGAGCTGCAGTTAGTTGAATACAGTTATTAAGTAAATAATATAGCTAATGAATAATTTATAAGGCGGAAATAGTGACTTATGATTAAGACGTGGGACTGGACTCAGGGGATCTGGGTCTGTCATGGACTTCCTATATTATGTGACACAAATCATTTAGGTGCAGATTTTACACACCTACACGAGGAGAGTAAGGATATATTTTTTAATGTTTTTGAGGCACTCAGATATTCCATTAACTGGAACTGTAAGTAATTAGGGGGAAAGATTGTATAACCTGCTCTAGTACAAGCAATAGAATTCTGTGTCACAGCCCACATTCAGAAACAAAATGATCTATTAACTACATCTGATTCCAAAATGTAATGTGCTTCTACAGTTACTCTCTTCAATACTCATACAGGCAGTCCCCGGGTTACGTACAAGATAGGGACTGTAGGTTTGTTCTTAAGTTGAATCTGTATGTAAGTCGGAACTGGCATCCAGATTCAGCCGCTGTTGAAACTGATCAGTTTCAGCAGCGGCTGCAAAATGATCTATTAACTACATCTGATTCCAAAATGTAATGTGCTTCTACAGTTACTCTCTTCAATACTCATACAGGCAGTCCCCGGGTTACGTACAAGATAGGGACTGTAGGTTTGTTCTTAAGTTGAATCTGTATGTAAGTCGGAACTGGCATCCAGATTCAGCCGCTGTTGAAACTGATCAGTTTCAGCAGCGGCTGACACGCCTGGGGCAGAGCAGCTGGGGTGCTGCTGGGTTGGTCCCGCAGCGCCGCACCTCGGCGCTGCGGGGACCAACCTGTCAGCACCCCAGCTGCTCTACCCCAGGTGTCCCCAGGGCAGCTGCTGCTGAAAATTA